TGGAAGCCAGGGATATTTGATGATATTTTTGATATTTTTATTACTTATTTGATAGGCATCGAGTTACTATAATATGACTTCATGTAGGCTATGATTTCTAATGTTGAAATCAGCTTCCAAAACCAAAACATTTTGAATAAAGCAAGAAACAAAGTATGCAATATAACCATCTAATTTATTTTCAAATCCTCATTCTTGAAAGTGAAATTCTATATTTTGGAAATTTTGCATGAAATCTGTCAACCACGCTGTCATGGTCGATGTTGCTTCACCTATCATGATGTATTCCAACCATCATGAGGCTATCTAAATGAGCATTTGTCATAACAGAATGCAAATTATTTTTAATTAGTCTCATTGAATTATTATTATTATTGTTATTATTATTATTGTTATTATTATTATTGTTGTTGTTGTGATGAAAAGTTAACACAAACAATATGGTGGTTTAATAACGAATATTACATGTAAATTTTTTTTTTTTTTTGCTTGTTCCCCTACAACCCCCTACAGCCCCCCTCTGCCGCCACCACTGCTCAGACTGTAGTAACTCATTCCTTTATGGTTTGCCAGCTAAGGATATTTCAAAACTTCAGCGAGTTCAGAATGCAGCTGCCCGCTTGGTCTCTTTAAACCCACCACGCCTGTGTTAAGGCACCTTCACTGGTTTCCTGTAACACAGGGAATCTCTCTCAAGATTTTGTTATTTATTTTCAAATCTCTTCATAATTCCTCGCCAATGTTTTGTTTCAAAATTAATTATCCTTTTAAGGATTAAATAAATTTAAAAATTTCTAGGTCTCTGAGATCTATTTCAGAGTCTCTACTTGCTCATTCTATTCGTCCGTTAACAAAGCATTATGGCAATCGTTCTTTTTCTTGGGCTTCTGTCTTCCTTTGGAATGCTTTGCCTATTAAAATCTGACAGGCAACTTCCATTGTTGATTTTAAGCTTTAAAAACTCACATTTTTAACGTGTACTTTTCTTAAATTTTTTTCTCCTGGCAATTTTATTTTTATTGTTAAGCACATTGAGGCTTTAGCATTTTGTGCTATATAACCTATTATTATTTTTTTTTTTTTTTATTATTATTGTTATTATTATTATTTATGTCAGGATCAGATGCCATCTCAAGCTCAGATGCCATCAGACTCTTCAATAGTATTATTGATTTCAAGAAGTCTTTTCTTAAAATGAAAAGAGGTGCTATTCTATACATCTCTAGCCAAAAGGCTGATAACCACCAAGATGGTTGACAGAAACAAAGAACTGGTAACACTTTTCATTGCCTCCAACTGTAACTACAAAAGAAACTACCAATATATCCTACATACTATGTATTCCTAGTTGGCATTATCTCCGAATCCGAACGACGAATCCAACTTTGCTCCGTGTGAGCACTAGACGATGCGACGGTGTCTGCTGATTGTTGGCAACAGGCTAAACGGATCGTCATTAAAAACGATCCGTTGTGTGCCCGTTGTTGCGTTTTTCATAGAATTGCGTCCATTGATAACCGCGGGCATTGTGAGACCCTGCTTTATAGACTAAAAAAACTTTAAAATTACTTACCGGTAACATATTGGTCGCTAGCATCTCAGTACTGGAATGTAGAACGGTACAAACAAGAATGATACACAATTAAAATTGATGCTGTACTTGTTGAAACCAAGTTTCAATAAATTTGTTTACAAATCCAAATATATCTTTCACTATCTATTTCAAAACAAGAGGAAATTGATTCAACTACAGTTTTTGAACGTTCTGTAAATGTTGAGAATAAATCTAGTACTAGACAACAAAAAAAAAAAGCACACAAGCTTAACTGACCCAAAATCTCAAGAAAATAGATTTACCCTTTTTTGTAGAAATGAGGAGACAAAATACTTGTATATTGTTTCAAAAAGCCACATTTCTGGCTTTAAATTTGATTCTTAAACTAGATTTATTCCTGTGATTACCATGTTACCAACCAAAATACAATACATGGTGGGGTGAGTGATAATTTACAATGAAATGTAGAACGTATTGCCTAGGTCTCTAAAAAATTATAGACTTTTAGCTCCAAATCTCCGTCTCAATCAAACTCCAACACAATGTACGATAGTCATTGACTGAATATAGCTTCTGTGACTGCAAGTTGTAAATTTTATGTAATCGTTTCCAACATATTATTTATATTTCCTGAACCTTGCCAGATCACTTTCTGTTTTGCTTCTGTGCAATAATTCCTCTGGCTGCAGGACCCCATTAGAAATAAGGCTGATGTACAAACACAAGACTTAATGGGTCATCCAGGCATTCAATTAATTATTTCTTTCATATTATGTATTTTCTCAATTTTATTGTGTGACGTGGAATGCAAAATAATTGAATCAACAAATAGGGATACAAGGAGACTATTCATCCCACATACAGGGAAATTTCATGGCTGAAATTTTTAAAAAAATAAAAAGATAGATAATACTGTAATTGATCATTTAAAAACATTTTTTATTCTGTGCTTTAGTCTAACATTCTTTAAGTTGTCGCTTAAAACAGTACTTCAATTATATGTGTGTGTGTGTGTGTAATGGTAATGGTATTCCATTCCTATAGACGTAATACAGTGCAATATCTCTATGCCCAGTGTAAAGACAAAAGATAGAAAACGAAACAAGAGCAAAGAAAAATTAGAATTGTCAAAAAAGATGAGATATAAGTCAGGATTTAAAAAGCGCCATAAGATGAAAATGAAATTGGATAAGTCATTATAAAAGAGGCACAGAAAATCAACATATCATTTTCACATGAAATTTTAATTTTCAATCAAAGACTTAATGGGTCATCCAGGCATTCAATTAATTATTTCTTTCATATTATGTATTTTCTCAATTTTATTGTGTGACGTGGAATGCAAAATAATTGAATCAACAAATAGGGATACAAGGAGACTATTCATCCCACATACAGGGAAATTTCATGGCTGAAATTTTTAAAAAAATAAAAAGATAGATAATACTGTAATTGATCATTTAAAAACATTTTTTATTCTGTGCTTTAGTCTAACATTCTTTAAGTTGTCGCTTAAAACAGTACTTCAATTATATGTGTGTGTGTGTGTGTAATGGTAATGGTATTCCATTCCTATAGACGTAATACAGTGCAATATCTCTATGCCCAGTGTAAAGACAAAAGATAGAAAACGAAACAAGAGCAAAGAAAAATTAGAATTGTCAAAAAAGATGAGATATAAGTCAGGATTTAAAAAGCGCCATAAGATGAAGATGAAATTGGATAAGTCATTCCAAAAGAGGCACAGAAAATCAACATATCATTTTCACATGAAATTTTAATTTTCAATCAATTGTCTTTAAACATAAACATTTTCACTAAATATTTATGCCCTCATTGCTAATTCAGTGTAAAGTAAAATATTACAATCACTACTCTGACTCTAAATATAAAGCGCAGAAACAGACATCTGCTCAAGGATAAAACATTTAAGCACAATGCCTTTTGAAAACACTGAACACAATTATTCTAAATTCATATCTTATCTGCTCATGAGGTATTTTAAATAAACTACAAAAAATATATTGCTTGTGATCAAATCTGAAAATAAAAAAAATATAATGCAATATAGATACTGTACTTTCATCAATCAACAGGGACTTGTAAAGTGCTAATATCAGTGGTGGATTCGGGAGATAGGGGCCTGCCGGTCTGGGTCCCAAAATTTTTCAGGAAATATTTTTAAAATTGAGAAAAAAAGAAAATTGTATTCAAATTTAAGTCTGAGAGTGCTATTTTCGACCATCTAGAGGTGACATAATCACAAATGTTCTATTTTTAAAAATGTGTCAACCCTGAGCTGATATCTATTGTAAGCCAGGGTCAGACGAGGAGGTCAGGTACGTAAATTTACTAATGTAAATCTAATTATGTTTACATCTTGAGTTGACTCATTTACAACATCTTCAAATATTTACAAATAATTATTAATAAAAATTTAAACACATCAAATAATACCAATCATGTTTACTGTACAGTTCAAGGTATAATTATTAAGGTGGTTTCTTGAACTTCTACTCAACATTCTATAAATTAAAACTACAAAAATATTTTACAGCAATGCATAGTTAATTTATAAACAACCAATCATAATGAATGTGTAGTCTAGAATACCATATTAGGTTATATTTATTCAAAGAAATGCCTGATGGCGTTTATTCGAGGGAGGCGTTTTTTTTTTGTCTACAATGGATACGTATTAGAGTCAAATAAATTCCCGTTAATTCACTGTAAATGTGGAACTACAACGCATTACCGTCAAAATGTCTTATTGATCCCAACAATGCAATTTTACTGGAGTAGAACATTAGAATGTGTTAAGAATGATGTGGCTTCCATTCCATTTGTTTATGGGACATTTATTCCAGAGGTGTTTATTCAAAATGAGGCTCTAGAGGGGAAATTTATACGAGAAGGGTGTTTATTCAAAATGAGGCTCTAGAGGGGAAATTTATACGAGAAGGGTGTTTATTCAGGGCGGGGCATTTATTCGAATAAATATGGTAACCTCTGACAACATATTTGCAGGATTAAATAATATGCGAGTATCAATCAAACTTTAAAACAGGGATAAGAATATGTGCTTGGTGCATAGAAACTGCTGTATTATGCACCTTATAAATCCATTGATTGATTGATTGCTTGTCCAGGGGGATATGGGGGGAGGGGCTTGGGCCGGCCCCACTTTTTTTCAGACCCAGAAGTGGTCTTTAATTGGAGGGAGACCTGAATTTTGATGCAACACATCTTTCTCACAATTAAATCATCACTTAAATAAAAGATAGCAGAACTGTATATTGCTAAATTATTCATCAAGGAATAATGTTAAAAAAAAACTTGTATACTGATTATTAAAATCTTTCCTCACATTAGGAGGGGGAAAACGTTCCCATTGTTACGTTAAATTGATGGGGTAAATCCATTTAGTTCATGTCTTTATAATTCATAGGTCAATTTATAGGAATAAAAGTAAACACTGCTACAGTCTATTCATCGCCTCTGTCATGCAAGTATGGCGATGGGTCGTCAATCTTGTAAACTTTTCCTTGTTTCACTGTCTCTGAGCACATTGGACATGTATCATCAGTTTCCAATAGACTGAAAGCGAAACAAACATTAACTGTTTAGTTATTAGATTATAATTGCTGGATTGTCATTAGGTTTCTGAAAATTACAATAAGCAATTGTTTATACACACTTTCAACATTCATATATCGATAGATAGATAAATGGTTTATTCAATTCAAATTAAAATACATCTTGGTAGCAATACTAAATTGTGGTGGTATTTACAAGTTGTTTTTTTTTTTACATACATAAATATAATACCATACAAGTGTACAAAAGATCACATAAATGAGCAAGACAAATTTTATAGTCAGCATCTTGTACTGTTTTGAGAGAAATAAAATTATGATAAGATTTATGTGATCTGATTCAAAATGACTACAATAAACAAAGGATATCTTGCAAGTTGAAAATAAATCCACAAAATAAGATAGCTTGAAAAGACTGCAAGTAATTTCAAAGGCTGGGTGTATCCAACTTCGAACAACGTCGAAAAGGGAATGAGAACGTTTGTTAGGGAGACGGTTCGCATGTGGCGCCTTGGGTCGGACTGTTCCATTATTTTCGAAGGGGTGTTCCGTTTTGGGAACAATGGCAATTAGTCGGTTATCCAGGTAAGTATTCACGAAATAGACTGAGCATATCTACTGCATAATATATATTTTTTTTAATTTTCATTCGACAATAAATCTCCAACAAATTCAGAATGTTATTGATATAGCATCAAACAGTCAATATACAAATTTAGATTCAATTTTATTTGCGCTTGATTTGCGCAACACGACAGAACACCAACAAAAGTAGTACTCAGTCGATTAAATATTCACTCGATTGCAGATGCGCTACGCCAGTCGAATTTGGTGTAATTCTGCAGATTACAAAGTTTTCACGTGCAACAATACAATTAAACACACATTCTGAATGTGTTATTGTACACTACTGTTTCACATAAACTAACATGGCTTATACATTAAACATTCTAATATAATAAGCAATCTCGATCTCTTACCTGCTAAATTCTGAGTAAAGCGCGGGGAAATTGCACTGGGGACAAACCGACCAATTATCTTTGACCATATGACAACCCTACGAAAGAACAAAAATGTAACAAATTAGTAATCACTGTAATCTGATTATTTTCTAAAGTCCTGCCCACACTCATTTTATTTGACAAAAATGTTGAATGCCCATATATAGTCATGATATGCCTACATATGGTCATGATGTGATGTCATCATGACCATATTTAGGCATGTCACATGTTATTGTAAAATAACATTTGATAGTCTGGACAGGGTTTTTATTGAGTCACTAGTTTAACAAATAGGTTTTCGATTGCCTGGGTAGAGAGACGTATAATAGTGGGCTAGATTTTAGGCAATGCAATGCAATTAAGCTGGGATGATAAGCAAATTATGGTACGAATTGTCCAAAACTCACCGTTACCACACAGTATGGTATATTGTTTTTGCAGCCTGGACAAACCAGCTCCGTTGACTCAAGATCGAAATTGCAATATGGACATGGGCTGGTCGGCTCATCTTCCTCGGTCTTGTCCGGCCGTCTAACGATAGCTTCAATTTTTCGTTTGTATTTCAAGTCAATCTTATTGCGATACTCCGGCCTCATTAGCATGGTCGCGTATGAAAACGATGAATTCTTCAGACCCGATCGATGACATTCAATTACAGTGGATGTTAGAATTGGAACAATATCTGAAAGTTGAAAACAAAAATTCAATTAAATACCGTATTTATTAGAATAAATACCCCGAAGTGTTTTTATTGTTGAGAAGCGTTTTTGAGGGCACATTTATTTGAGGAAGACGAATATTCGAGAGAGGCTTTTTTTGTTTATTTTTTGGTGTAAAATGAATACGTATATGTTAAAATAATCCCCCCTTTAATTCCACTGTAAAATTGGAACTACTGCACAATTTATAATTACCGTCAATAGCTATAAATACCTTTGATAAGAATTTAAACTATGGAGAGCAGTTAGAGGGTGTTCTCAAGAACGCTAAATCCTGTGTGTATTTTCTTAGACAAATTAATTACTTTAAGGTTGACAAAACAATTTTGAAATTGTTTTCTACAGCGGTCATTGAAAGTATCCTTGTTTTTGGATGCCTAGTTTGGTTTGGTTATGGTAGAGTGTCTGATATAGATAGGCTAAGATGAGTTGTTAGACATGCTGCTGGCAAAATCATGCAGTTAAATGTAGATTTTGACATGATATTCATTAAACGTATTATAGATAAAGTAGAACAAATTATGAAGAATAAAGATCATACACTATACCACCACTATAACTGGTTACTCTCTGGTAGAAGATTAGGGTCTATATGTACAAAAACAAACAGATATAAAAATTCATTTGTTCCTTCCTTTATTAGGTTCTACAATGAGTCCATATATAAGGTTAAGTGAATCTTATTAGTCTTAGGCTTTTAAACTTGAAAAATAGTTTTTAAATGGGTTTTATTATCTTCGAGAGTTATTTTCTTATCACCTTGATTTTTTTATCAGGAAGTTCATCACGTGTAAATACAAATTTATTCGAGGAGGATGTTTATTCAAATACAGTCTATAAAATTAGTCTACCTCTACTGTATGTTCTGTAGTATTCAATAAAACAGGATAGAACAAATAAGCATACTATAGTTGATTAATACTTACGGGAAGGGAATTTACTGATGTTGTTTGCCACCCTTATCAGCATACGAGCCCCCTTCATGTGGTCTCCTCTTTTAACATGAATCTGTGTATGTACGGTAAAAAAAACGAAAAAAATTAGCCAAAGCACAACAATAAAATATTATCAGCAACCTGTAAGGCCACTTCTGGCTGATGGCATCCTCAAACTAAATTCTGCTCTGTTCTGTGCCAGACTTGCCCTGTTTACCCAAGCAGCTCTTTCTGAATAAGATCATTCCGTCTCTTGTTTGGCCTTCCTCTTTTTCTTTTGTTAACATATGATATTAATAATGATGTAAATATAACAAATATTAAATAATATTTCTTCTAACGTGGTGTTACCGACCTTAACTAGGATATAGCTGTGTAGGATCATGAGGTTGGTCGCCATCTCTGCGGGTATCTTGATCTTCTGCGCGCGGAGTTCAGTAAACATGCTGTACAGCACATCGTGCGCATTGCGATAGTTGCCTACAAAAGAAACACAAACTCATTATGATGATTGAAGGTAAAAAGTATGCACTCTCTTTACGTTGAAAACTCAAACGTCAATGACCAATCAATTTCTGATGTTGACTGTTAGCATGGGTGAGGCTGGTGTGTGTTGGCAGCAAATTAGTTCCAGTAAGTGGGTTAAAATTCTAAAAATGACCATTAAGTATTCATTGGAATAGGGATTTTTTCTGCATTCTCATTTTTCAATAACCCCCACCCCCACCCACTCCAAGGCCAAAACCAACCTAAGCCCCTGATTACTTGTGCAACTTAGTAGCTCACCAGCAACTAACAAGACCACCAGTTTATTAAGTTTATGAAAATTACTTTGAATTTAATGAATATGTTGTACATTTATATGTCTAGCATTTTGAGGAAGGCCGCTAGTGTAGCAATTTCCGTTCAGGTTCAAACCTTGTGGTTGGGAGTTTGGATCCTACTGACTACCAGATAGTCTTCAGATTCCTCAGCTTGCATTGGTAACAGGCTTTGAAGTAATTCATTCTATGTTTCAGATTTGCTTTACAAAAATGTTACAACCCCTGACCTTGTTTCAGCTGCACACAATTATGCTCGTTTGTCTAAAACTACAATCTCCATGGCTTAGAACCAATGGCAAGATCCAGTAATTACAACCAGTAATAAGGCAGAACTCACCAGCATTCTGTTCCTCTCTTGCAATGATGATTGCAGTTCTTGCAGCCTCCCTGTGCTGCTTCAACGCCATATACAAGCGGAACAAATACTTAGCATCCTTGGGTACACCGTCAGTCTCTCCCATCAAATAGTCTATCAGCTGGTGGGTCAATGGGTCATCTTTTGCTTGACCAACCTTTGGCAAAAAAAAGGTTACCGGTTAAAGGTTCCACTTAGATAAAAATATAAGTAAAGAGCAACAAATGTATCAGTTATAGATTGATAAAAGAACTACCACACCATAACAATACTATGATAAATGTTAGTAAAAAGAAATAAAATAAGAGCAAAAATGAAATCCACCTTTGTTGATCTAATAATAAGGAAGGGTCACCCTCTATAAATATAGTGTTAAAAAAATAAACTCAAATCTGACATTCTAAAATTACCCTTACGTTGTCAGTTTAACTCAGTGAATCGTGCTCAGTAAGAATAAACATGCTGTCTTTTCCTGAACACAGTCCAATGTGAACAGAGAGACTTGATTAAATGTTTCTGAGAGGCGTTATTGCCCGTAATCATAAATGTTGTCTGGTATTTTTTGTGTTAAAAAGTAATAATTTGAACTCGTGCACATTCAAATACATGCCATGGTAACCCATTACAACAGATATTTATAAGTTTATCTCATCTGCACACTCAGGAACTTATACTTCAAATACTGAAATAAATTTGAATAAAAGTATTTTGATTAAAGTCTAACCGTCTCAATGGCCATTTCTACAGCAGGGCTGTCTTCGCTGGTGTATGGACATCGTAGGAAATGCTGTAATGCCTTCTTGTATTGGGAACACAGTAGGAAGAACTTGCCGGCAAGGAAATGACTCTTCTCATTATCAAAGTGCAAAGCAATGCTCTGGTAATCCTCCAGCGTAGCATCATCACCTGCTCAAAAAATAATTACTTAATTAGAAATTATATTTTTTACACACTATTGTATAATAGATTCAGGTTTAGATTATTTGTGCCATGATCTCAGCCAGCATGATCGTCGCAGAAATTTGTTTGTACCAAATGCCATTTATATTTTTATTCAACGTACAGTTTACCCTTTTTAACCATTTTCATTAGCATTTTTAAATTTTTATACTAAAAATTCACGAAAGCTTTAGTTTTTTTACATGTTTGTGTATGTGTTTATATGTTTCATCCACTTAAATTTGGATTTTGTGATGAATATTTTAATATGTTTCGTATTAATTTTAATAATAATAATAATAATAATATATAATAGTTGGATTTGTAGAGCGCATCATGCGAAAAAGCCTCTATGCGCTTGGTGATTGAGCTCTTTGAGTTGGACATTTGAGATAATAAAATAATTTTTATTTACTTGTACAGGCCAATGGAAAGCGAATTTCCAACCTGTATTTATACGTTTGGACAAATAAATATTATCTTAATCTAAAAATCTATAAGTAATAATAATTACAAACATTGACCAAAAAAATAATGTTTGCTGGATCAATTAAACCATATTATCGAGTTACCTGGCTCAAACTATCAGAAATATTACAAGTCAACATTCACCAGATTAAGAAAAAGACCTAGTCGAAAGAAACTTTTGCATATAGCACGTAAAAACTCCAAAATCGGAGGGTTAAGTTTTGAAACTCCGATTTTGGATTTTTCACATATAGTACACAAAAACACTTAAATCGAAGGGTTGAAAGTTTTAAAACTCTGATTTTGGAGTCCACAAAAAACTCCATTATTGCTTCCAATATTTAACTATTGATTATTTAAACTGACCAATGATCTCTGCATACACCTCCATCTGTCCATGCTGCTGGGCCAATTGGAATGCTTCATCATTGCACTTTGACATCACAAGGAATTGAATAGCTGAACTGAAATCATTCAATTTCTGGAAAAATCTGGAAACAACAAAAATTTTATAGTATTCTTATTGTTCTTATTTTTATGTAATTTGTACCTAACAAGTCTAAGAGGAACCTCAAGCTAAGGGGAAATAGATTATAGCAATTAATAAACATTTTTTCTATCAGATATGTATCATTGGGTTTCATCATATTGGCAAATAAAATCATTCATTTTTAAACATACCTTGCAACCATTTTGGCACCCTCTGTTGATTTGGTTTCTCTTACTATCCTCACAGCTTCTTCAGGGTTATGTAAATGATCAAGCTGTATTCTGGAAAGGAAAATAACAAACTTTGTTATGCTCTAAATAAACTGTATTTTGTAATGTAAAAGTATCACAGCTTTTGCAAGTATTGAATCAAGAATCATGTGGGATAGATGTTGCCTATACCCAGGAAGTTAGAGCCCACTCCTCACATAACACCACGTGAAAGCATTACAGCAAAATATATTTATGTTTGCTTATATACTAAAGACAGTAAATCGCAAAAGTTATATAAAACCACTTTATCGAAAGACTCAAAAAGGATAGAATAATAAATAACCTAGGTCAATGATCTGGTAGGAGAGACTTGCAAGGTAACTTAGAAAATGAAATATTGGACAAGACATACAAAGTCACAATTAAACTGAAAATGCTGCACCTGTCTCTTATACACATCTAGATGTGTACTACATGAATCTGCCACAAGGAGTAATCAGAGTATGCTCTATTCACAGTCACTTAGCCGACACCAGATTAACTTTACATACCTGATTACATTATCAAAGTCTTTAGCGTTTTCGTAAGCTTTGGCCGCCTCCTTATACCGTCCATCTGCTTCTTTTGCCTTTGCATACTGGATATGAATCTTGGGAGAGTTTACCTGAGGGAGTAGCTCACCAACCTTATTCCTGAAATATAATTTGTGACATATAAATAAGTAAAGCCAGGCATAAACTACGCCAACAGTTGCCCGCCAACATGATTCCATACAATGGATCACTTTTATCAAAAATCCACTCAGTCTACCAATGACGATCAGCAGACAGCATTGCCTTGTAAATGTTCTGACAGAGAGCGGATGTAGAGTTGTCGCCCGACAGTCGTAAGACCATCGTATGGTCCATTGAGTACCTATGGTGGCTCTATGGTGGCGCTTGGTTAAAAAATGTTGAGTTTGAAATTGCCACTCGCATCAATTTCCAAGAAAATCAATAGGTAGTACGAGTTCAGGATTTAACATCTTAAACAAGCATGATTAAATTATTGAATGCCAACACTAAATTATTATGTGGATTCCACAAAGAACTCACCAGTTTTTGCTCTTGATATAGACAGATGCTGCTTTGTCGTAGAAAGCTCCCTTCTCATAGAGGGCAGCAGACTCAGAGTATTGTTTCATACTCTCAAGAATGGCGGCGCAGTCTTTCTTCAGGGTGCGATTCGGCATCTTGGTTGCCATCTGTACACCGCGTCGGATATCACCACAACGGATAGACGTCCGCGCAATTCCAGATGCACATGCTTCATCATGGTCTCGGCACTGGCAAAGTTCAATGTATAAATGAATGAGATAAAAAATGTATTGAAAATTAAACCATGCACTAGATAAACAATTTTATTTCATTGTCATGTAAGCAAGTACAGTAATAACAATAGACTATTCCGGAATGTCAATCAAACTTAACAACTGACCAATCAGAACATGTTTGCGCATGTTTTAATACTGTCGTTTTGTGGTAGCTTAGCAACAATATCCAAGGGGTGGAGCTTAAGGGAAGGTCCATAGTACTTTTGCTCTGTGAAGACAATGCAGGTCTTTAAAAAAAGGCGGTTAAGACACATTTGACGATGCTGGTGCAGTGGGAACAGTTTGGTTTCCCAACCCCAAGGTCAGGGTTTCAATCCCTTACTGTGCATTTCACTCGTTCTTGAGCAAGCCACTTTATCTGCATTGCTTCTCTCCACCCAGGAGTATAAGTGGGTTCAAGTGTAAAATGCGCTGATATGTTTCATGCAGCAAATTATGGAATTTCCCCCATAGGCATCGTTCCACTGACTGGGTTAATAATGTGGAAAAGGGCTTTAAGTCTTAGTTGTACAGAGCGCTATATAAAAACCTACATATTATTAATAAAACCCAATCTCATCTTAATTTAATTTACATAATTTGCCTTGGTTTGTACTGTACTCTTTTGTAGGCTAGTCAGATAATAGTATTATTATAATTACTTTAAACAGATGGTGGATGGTGGATTGCAAAGCAAGTTACAGTTACGCTAAGAAATCTGAGACTGCGAAACACAAAAAAACAGACATACCTCAGGCAACTTAGTGACTCCTTTCTCAAAGTGTACTAGGGCATTAGAGTGATCACCCCTGTAGGACACAAGATAACATTATCAGTCAAATGTTGTTGAGATATTTGGAAAAACGAGAGTAGCTGGTATTCGGTTTACCTTGTGACCTTTAGGGGGTGAAATACATTACTGTATAGGCTTCTCCACACCTTGAGGGCTTTGAGATTTTGGTCAAAAAGTACTACAAAAATCCAACTACATTATATGCATTTTAAGATAGCAGCAGAAATAATATGTAAACATAATAACTTTAATTACAGAAATAAAAACCCATACTTATATATTCTATACATGAAAGACCTAAAAAAATTGATCTTTTAAAATACATATTCTGTAGTAAAAAGTCAGTAAGCAAAAACTGTATTATTTTTAATTTTTAAATTTTATTGTAAGTTTATGACTTTTACATCCCTATAAAATAACAATTCAATATTTGATGGAATGCTTTAATATTTTATATGATCACAGATAGCTAATATTCAAAATTTTAACAAATAAATATATAAATAATATTATAAATCAATAACATACGTAAACTCCAGCTGCTGAGCGTATTCTTTCGATATGAATGGAATCTGATCCGGTGCCAAGCTCTTTGCTAGTTTAAGCGCTTGATCCCAGTGCAGTAAATCTCTTCTCATCTACAACATCAAACATTGAACAGATACAAATTACAATTATTTATCCAACCACCACCATGTATTAATCAATCAATCAACTTTGTTTAGTCCATCCAAACATATTATAAAATTTTTTAAAAAAACCAATGGAGAGGACACGCGGTAGGGAGCTTTCGACTGCGCAACGACATAGGACGTAGAACATAATGACGTCAGTAAAAGTCATTTGCGCATGCGAGAACGTTAAGGTCACCTCGTCGAGTATATTCTGGAATGCAATTTGGCCAAATCTGATGTCTAGCTCTGCCCACACTATCAAATTATATGCGACAAAAAAAATGTGATATGCCCATATTTGGATGTAATATGCCCATATATGGATGTGATATATATATATACATACATATATATACACATACATATATACATGTACACACACATATACACCACACATATACATGAGTATAGATGAGTAAAACTATAAATGTTAAATTTAATCAATTCGAAACTAGCATAAATTATAACAATAAACAATTAATGATTATCTTTATATGAGCGGAGCAATGCTTTACCCTGACAAGACAATTCAAGCTTCAATAGCCTAATGACTTGTAAAATTTAGTATCAAGTGTTCACAATCATCTTCTGTGAGTAGCAGGAATCTCCCAGCAATCAATACAATGTACCTTTCCAGAGTGTCAATCAAACTTAACTGACCAATCAGAAAAGGGCCAGGAACATGTTTTTTACAGTCATTTTGTGGGGCCATAGCAACAGTATCCAAGGGTGGGGCTTAGCAGAAGGTGTCCATTTCCCAGCAACCACACAAGTGAGCAAAAATCCCCCTGTAACCAACCCATCTCCTTTACATTCATGATGTAATCTCTCGGAAGACAACAATATACAATTAAATGTGTTAAGAAAGCTCATTAAACCAGATCCCCCAGAAGCACCTTCTCCCAACTTGGTACCCTTGTAAGCATTAAATACTGCCAATTGAAAGAAATCCTATTTTAAATCTTGAATCTCGGATCAAATTTAGATATATGCGAAAATATTTACACACCTCAAGAGCCATCATTGGTGAACTAGATGCTAAAAACAGCTCCTGTGCCAGATTAAAATCTTTCTTTATTAGGGCCAAGTTGCCAGCTAGAAGGTTACGATCTTCTGTTCCCTGCAGGTAGAAAAGAAAAGACAACATATTTTTTTTTTTTCACTGATTAGTACATTGCACTGTAGAGTATGAATACATGTCTACTACTTAAACAATTGAGAGAATCTGAATCTTCAGGAGTATGTGTCTCACTAAGTACAAGTCTAAGCTATTTTTTTGTCAACTTACAAGAATGTTAAGTAAAGACAAGAGCATGCCAGCTTCACCAATCTGCCTGTACACCCTCATTGCTACAAGAACAAGACCAAACACATATCAAGTAACTGACTTATCAGTATTTAATTTAACCATTTTTGCCTATAAGCCATTATAATTATTTCTTTAATGTTGTTTAACATTTGTATTACAAAGAAATTAGACAATTAAAAAATACCAATAAATAGTACACTGTCGGCAATTTAAGAAAATACAAACCAAATTCTAGCTCAAGCTGCTCTAAGGCGGTTTCAGCCAGTTCAAGCCAGTTTTGCTTCTTGTTGATAAAGTGACATAGAACCCAGGATTCTCTTAGTTTCTTTAGAGCAAGTGACTTTCTGAATCCTTCTTTCAACTTAAAAAAACAAAAGAGAGATATAAATATTTAACATATAATTACAAAAAATATTATAAAAGAATTATAATATAAGTTGTTTTTTTTAAACAAATAAAAAAGAAGGGTAACAAGTCTTACATCATCCATTGAGAGGTCTTGAAGCTTTTCATGGAAATTATGTGTACTGAGTTGCAATGTAGTTGTCTTGCCAGATGGAGTTTGGCAAGTGACTTCCCCATTGTACAGTAGTAGTGGCTTCTGAGCATATGGCAACTTAGTAGTACCTGCAAGTGTTACCTGTGGGCCTGAAATAAAGCATTAACTAGTTGAAAATGATGCAAAACCAGTCATCACCACACCCTTCACCAGCATTTGAAGGTGCATAGACCACCTTGCACGTAATGAACAGGTGCTAAGGATGCTGGCATCTAGACTAATCTATCCTAAAACAACAAACTACATATAAAAAAAACAAATAAAGTTTCCAACAAGCAATGCATCACATTTTTTTAAAGCAGTTTTTAGCTCCGATGAGGAGCTGTAGGAATACCTGGCTGATTGATTAATAGATCTTTTTTCATTCTCTTATTTGTATAGGTGCCCGTTTGGGCCAATTATTTTTACTAATGATTAATTCCGAATGAAAAGCTCTAGAAACACTCGGCTGACTGATTAAGAGGTCTTTTTAGCTCCATGATTGATTGATCTTTTTTGCCGATAGATTAATAAATCATTTTTTATGGGCAACCGTTAGGGCCAATATACTGCCTCTTTTAAACTACCCTCATAGGAACTTTTGAGATTATGAGACCTTGTTATCTATTTACTAGTGAAGCAGTCTCATCATTTGGCATTAGAATGAGACATATCTACTTAAGTGGAGATGTGTAGTCTTGAGGAAGAATTCTTGTGTTATGGCAGAACTTTTTAAATTTAATCTGAGATTAAAACCAAGCTATAGCTTAACACTGAAAGGTCCACAGATTAATCTCAGATAAGAAAGTATAATACATACTTGAAGTACTGAAATACACACTATAGCTTCACTAATAAAAAAAGTATCTCCAAGTAAAAATACACAATGTCATTTTAAAATAAGAATCTTCATCAAGACAATAACAAACTACTACCTTTGATTGTTTCTCTAGAATAGACATAGGTGTATATATTGTCATCATCATACGCGATAAAAACACCTTTGTCATACGGCCAATTCTCCCAGAGTACGCCTTCAACAGTTGCTGAAAAACCTGGGATCTCAAGCGTATTGTCATTCACCTAAGAAATAAACAAAAATAAGTATTAAACAAGTTTTAACCCTGTTTTCCACTAGACCGAATCGCACGAATCAAAAGCGTTGGTTTGCCTCTTGAGCTCTAATTGGCTGCACATTTTTCCACTTCGCAAATAGTGGAAACAGTTTGAACTGTTGATTTCGCTGAAGCGAAAAACTTGGATAATTCAATTTATTTATTCTAATTGCCAATGTATAATATTGTATTGTTATCGATGTTATTAATGTGCAATATTGTATTGTTATCGATTCTTTTTTGGTACTTTAGCTTCTACTGTATATTGTAAACTCATAAGAATTTCAACTTCTGTTGCATTTTGAGTGTATATACCAATAAATAAATAAATAAATAAAATAAATAAATAAAAATATGAATGAACCAATGCTTTTGATTCGCGCGAATAAAGTCATCTAGTAGAAAACAAGCTTACACCCTACTACGAAATGATTACATTGAAACCATTTATTAGGCATTTGTTAGTACAACTGAACCATCAATTGCTTTGAACAAACAGCATCAACAACTTGTTTCTGCCAAATTTAATATGTCATTAATCTATAAGTTTAAAATCACCACAATTTAAAACTGACCATTTAGGCTTGGCCTAACTGTTTTATTAAAAAACTCGACATAACCATGTTTCTTCTGTACAACTATCTTCAGTGTAACAATGCTTACAAGCAAATTCTAGTATTTATAGGAGTCGACAAATGTGATGAAATTTCATGATAAATAAGTTGAAGCATATGAAAGAAAGGCAAACATCATTTGTTAAGTTGTTGAATAACTTTTCTTCTTCTTTTTTTTTAGATAGAAATCGCCAAATTCAAGGTAATGGCTAGATAAAGAGCGGAAAGCAGGACAAAATGATAAAGATTTCAATCAAATAAACCATTTCAGAGTGGACAAAGTGATGATGAAACAATTGAGGTTATATTCATCAGGGAAACAATCCTCGGAAAGAGAATTCCACAAAGCCATGACTCTGGGAAAAAAGCTCCTTTCCATTTGTTTGGTTCTGTACTTTGGCTTCGTCAAAGTAAGATGGTAAGAAGTTTTTGAGAGCTTAGAGACACAACCAAATGATTTTGCTGGCGCAACGAGATCAGATAAAGCAGATGAACGAAATCCAAAAACATAACATTCACTCACTGGGTTGTAAACAAATCCATCACTCTTATCATCAACGAAGACCAGTCTGGTTCCACTAGGATCTGGGAAGAGCTTGCGTATTCCAACCACATGCCGGAACTCATTCACAAACTGCCAGTCCTCAATAAAGAAATAATACAGTTCACCAGTCTGAAAGAAAGAACAAGAGGAATTGTGACAAGGAACAATATTATATAATACTATTACACTTGCGTTTAAGTCGACTTTGCCTAACTCAAATAATTTCTAAGTCGGTCTTATTTTACGTTGCACATTATTGTGTTTTCCATTAATTAACAATCTGTAGTAAGTCAAATTTTATCGCTAAAATGTCATTATACTGTATTAGGCAAGTTCAACTGTATAGTAAAAACTGACAGTTTCATCACTACCTGACTCAAAAATTATGATAATGGTATTCATAATTATGACCTAGTGTTCTTGTATCCATACACACTGGATGGATAAAAGAACAAAGGAAGGAAGAAAATCAAATTAGTAGACCCTTCTTCGAGACACAGGTAATGGTGAATGCATAGGTGCTTCAAAATTGTTTCTTGAATAAAAACATCTGGAGTAAGCATGCTCAGGTATCAGAGCAACCTGGCAGTCAACGAAGGTAAGGTACAGTATGTATACACTTGTGTCTCTAAACTTTCCCAAGTATTTTGTTAATCTTATAATTTTTATAGCTAAATAATTTCACTTTTTTACTTTTTTAATTAACCACTGTTCCAATGAATCTAAATAGATTGATTTCTGCAGCCAACATATTTTTTCCTCCTCTTTTTTACGTCAATTTACATTACATACGTATTTCATTTGAAGATAAGAAAACAGAAAAAAATCCTATAAGAAAGTATAATACATACTCCAAGTATTGAAATACACGCCATCGTGTTGGGATTTAATATTTCGACATTAATTATGTCATCATCAGGAATGTCATCATCAGTATGTATTATACTTTCTTATCTGAGATTAATCAGTGGAACTTTCGGTTTTAGAAAAATTTCTAACTTGCATGATTCATACACAGCACCCTAGGATAGGAATATGAGAGAATAAACCCTGTTTACATACATCAGTTCCAAAGACAAGAAACTCTGGCGTTAGACAGTGGCATAGAACTTTGCCATCGCTGTCCTTCCCCGGAAACAGCCTCGTCTCGCGATCTTCACTTGTGCTTCCATTCTCGGGCTCAATCTGACAATACAAAACACTGTGGTTAAAATTTCAATATGCACAACAATGACAACAACAATACAGTTCACCCTTCAATTTGAGACCACTTTTTGGGATTCTGCAAATTTGGGGCGGTCTTGGGCTTCGGTCACCAATTAGAGGCTTATCGTTCTGCTGAAAGGATGACGATTGTTTTTGATTCTTAGAAAATTGGTTTGGAATTAGAGGGGTCTCAAATTGGAAGGTGCACTGTATTACAATATTATTATACTGGATTAAAACTAGAACATTATCTTATATATAAGAGCAAAATAATATAATGTATAATGTATAGACTTTAAATTGTGTTTTGATTGGCCTTTCATATATAAATCTGAATTTTTTTTTTTTTCAATGAACAGAGGATTTCACCCAATGAAATTCTGGTTCAAGGAGATGGGCTTATACCAGAGAAACTATGGTACGACAAATAAGAGGAATCAGAATGTTTATTACCAGATTTAGCTGGACCTGGTTTTCAAATGCAACAGCAACATAATCGGCGTTCAACGACATACCGACTATCGTACCAAGATACTCACGGTCGCTCAGTTTCTCGGGCCCTATAATTTAATAAAATCAATGCACAAATTAAATATATGGATAAAGTACCATTAATAATCACTTTCATTTCATTATTTCATTATTTATTTGGTCATTTACAACAACAACAAAAAAAGCTGAAATTTGGGGAGACCAGTGAAAACCAGAGTGAACCAAATCACTGTAGCAAAGCCGGTTTATACAAAGCGGTAAACTCTCATAAAAAACAAGCACCTAAAGTATTTGGCATTATATTACCATTATTGAAAGATTAATAAATTTATTGAACAATATAAAAAGTGAAGGAAACAACAAAATATATAAAAATGATAAAAGTATATGTGGTGAAGACAAGCCAAACCAGTCAATCCTCGCAAATCGTGTTTCGGAATTATTATTTTTGTTTTTTTTTTTTTGTTTTTTTTGTTTTTTTTTGCATGTAGTGACTGATTTGGCTTCTCTTTACCACATATATTTTGTAACAAATTCCATGTATTTATGATATAATAGCAACCATGATGATAATATATTTAAATATTTTGTTATAATAAAAAGATTACAAAAATGTCAAATATTAGAGAAATAATGATATAAATGAACTGAATAAGTTAGGCTGTTAAATAAACTTGATAATGATAGACTAAAAAAAAAAAAAACCAATATAAAACAGTAAACAAAGTCCATCAGTTCATAGAAGATTAAGAACCTACTAGAGCGTCCTACAAACTAAAACTTAACTGAGAACTAGACCCAATTAGTTAAGAACAGTTTAAAACCCTTAAATACCTATTTAAGAACCTAAACTGCCTGATTTCCCACTAAACACCTGATACTATAGAACGCTTAATAAGGGAAAACCTTAACACTCTGACCGCCAGACATTTTAGCGAATTTTAACACTTTTCCGAAGCTCGTTGACAGTGCGTATGTGATCAGATTGACATGTACTGAAAACTGCAAGAACTACAAACATCTTAGATTTACAATGGTACCAAACTCTTTATTCTAATCACAATTTTGATCCGTAACAGTAAAATGAATGACTCACTTTTGGAGATTTACTCAATTTCGCACAACAGAGCTGAGAACACGTTATATTTTCATTGCGGATTTTTTGGGCTCAGTACGGACTCTAAATGTATGCATTTTCTTTTAGTTTTAAGGCGTATGCGGATTTTATAAGTCCGCAACGACGATATAACGTGTTTGAAATGATTGCGATTTCGTGAAACTACATCAATATACCACTACGCTCAATGTAAACACACAAATACTGAAATACTTACGATCCAGACTGATTAAAGTATTCAAATTGTTAGGACATGTCGATAATTACCCCATCTATTGGATTTTGTAAAAAAAAACCTGAAACACAGAAATCTCTGTGTTTGGCAGTCAATCGTTGTGTTACCAAACATGCAGATCTCTGTGTTTGGCGGCCAGAGTGTTAGCAGAGGTTGCCGTAGTGTTAAAAGATATATTTAGTCATTTTCAAATGAAAAATAGATGGCGGACAGAATCAGAATGCACCATTCTGCTAACCACCACTTCATGAATATATTGTACTGTAGCTTAAGTTTGACACCCTCCATTACATAATGAACTATTTCTCTTGACCTTCTCAGTTCAAATACAATTATAAAAAGCTGTGGTATGTATGGGAGAGGGTTAATATTGATCAGTTAACATATACTTAATAAAATATGATATGAAAATTATCCTTCAATAAAGATAATTTCAAATTTTCAACAAAAAACACTTTAATTAGTAGAACTAAATAAACTCCAATAATTTTCTTGGATGACCACTCACAGAACTCGACAAACATCTGAAACAAGTATTTCTTGTCAGGATCATTGTTCCGATCTTATGAGGTAAAATAGTTGAAAGAATCATAATACGAATCATACAATGATGATAATAATGGTGGCATGGAATATGGAGGGCAACATGGTGATGCCGACAATGATGATTATTAATGAAGAAATTCATTTGATACACATAAATAAACCAATGTCCACACTATCAATTTTGTTTCATTTGATCAATATATTAGACAATTAATTAGTAATCATTGTTAAAGTTTGTTTATTTTCTAGGATTTTCTCCCCTGAATATTGCAGTCTATATCATTCTTATATGTGGCAAAGACAAACCAAACCAGTCACTCGTCGCAAAAATCGATTTTGAGTTATTAATAAAAAGTAAATATTAGTAAAATAATAGCTATAAAATGGTAAAAAAATCATTCAAATCGGACATTTCCTTATGAAGTTACAAGCATTTATCCACACAGCTGTTTAAAGAACAATATATGAAAAATTAACCTTCCAAGTTTATGATTTCAGGCATTTCTCATGCAGAAACCATCTTTAAATCCTTAAAAAGTATTGTTTTAACATTGAAAATGGGGAAAATAACAGCATAAAATGATGTGTAGATATATAAAGGTTAGTTTAGTGCAATAAAATAGATTTTTAAAAATTTGACATTCCAGCATTTTTTGGCCATTTTCTCTGAAACACGATTTGCGACGAGTGACTGGTTTGGCTTGTCTTTGCCACATATCATATACAGTAGCATACAAGATATCCTAAAGCTTATAAATCAAGACCTACCACCTTTTCATTCGATGTATATATATTAGACAATTAATTAGTAATCATTGTTAAATTTTGCTTACTTTCTTGGATTTTCCCCCACCCCCTGAATGTGGTAGACTTTATTGTTGTTCTACCGTCTACAACCTACGTAATATCATAAAGCTTATACATCAAGACCTACCACCTTTTCATTTGATATATATATTAGACAATTAATTAGTAATCATTTATAAATTTTGCTTATTTTCTAGACCACCTACCCCACTTCACCCCCATGTGGCCGTCTTTATCTTTATTCTACAATCCATACCCAACATGATACCATAAAATTTATAAATCAAGGCCTGCCACCATTTCTACACACTTTGTTTACCTCTCTTCAACCTTAAGTATAAATGGGTGCACATATCTTTAAATCCACTACAATAAAAACAGTGTAACATAACAGCAACTAACACACACATGACTGTGAGGGTGGGATATGGACATCATAGGGGGAAGAGTTTGAACACAGTGGTGCTGGGGCCCTGATGGTAGGGGTGTGTCATGAGAAAAAGGGATTGAGCACACAGGCACTGCTAAGAGGTGTTCATATGCCCTGATGACCGGGGCTTGGTCATGTAAGAAGAGGTTCTGACCAGTGTTGCTAGGATAACCGCGAAGTTGGGGTTTGGCAAAATATTCATCACATAAGCAATGATTTGAATATGAGGACTTGAGTATAGGAACTTGACTATAAATTAATAATAATAATACTAGTAATAATAATAATAAATAGTGTAGATTTGTACTGCGCCAGTATCCATTAAATAAGATACTCATGACACTTGATAAGTCGACTAGTAGCTCGACCAATGACTTTCTTCGCCCCTAAGGGTCCCTTCGTGTCTGTACTACACGGCAACCCGGTACAAACAACTCTCGTCGTCCACAACAAGGGCTGTCTGTACCACTACACCGGGGTAACCCCCTACTCATCTCGAATTAGGATAGTTTTATATTATTTTAATAATACTGTAAATAGAATCGATGTTATACCAACGTGATAATAGAGAATGGAAATATGATTTTGAAGGTATTAGAAATGCAAAATTTAAAAAAACATGACTTCCGTTCAAAAAATGAAGTTGATTTACAATATCACGCAACATCATTGCATAGGATTAAAGTGATAAAATGACTACAAAATTTATTATCACTGTCAACATGAATGTATTTTGAATACTCAATTAATTTTTAATCATAATGATAATGATGATGATGGGAGTGGACGGCACTTCTTTATGCCCCATTGTTCAAATGTGAGCCACTACATTTCAATTAGAAAACTTACATAATCAGAAATGTAGTTATGGAAACATCTTTGCATAAGATTAAAGTGATACTATGGCTACAACAATTTATTACTATTGTCAACAAAATGTATTTTAAGTGCTCAATAAAATTTTCTTTATCATGGTAATGATGACGGTGATGGAAGTGGAAGGCACTGTTTTATGCGCCATTATTTACGTGCGTGGCACTTCATTTCAATGAGAAAACTTACATGTGGACGTTGCTTCGTACTCATCTAAAACGAACACAGAATCAATAATTTTTCTCATAAACTGAATCAATAAATTTCTGATTGCATTATTAAAATAAATTAATGAAGATATAGTGATCACGTCACCATCCACCGCTCTGCTAATTAACTTTCTCACATAATTATTGAATGTTATAAATTTCAGCGTTCTATTTTTGGTATATCAACGATCAATGCGAAAGAACACAGAGCTTAATAATTATGCACTTCTGCAGTCCTGACATCCAAAGCCATGCAAACAATGAGTAATGGAATTTTTGTCGCTGCACATATATTATCAGTATAAATTTATGTATATGTTTTTATGCAAATATTGGTACAAGATAATTTGTAACTGACATGGCAAATATAGCCGAAGTACAAAATTCTGCATTGCAGCCTATGGGTTGAGATATTATACCTTTCCTTACATTACATAAATATAAACATTCATTATTAGAATTACTAATATTATTAATAAATTCCCACAAGGGGGTCTCACCTTTTGTGCCAAGCAAATAGAACCAAGCTCTGTTATTCATACCTACGGCTAGATGGTATGGGCCGATGGCAACAAATGTCGGCTCAACTTCTATAGCTATTGGAAAAGGGGGCTCCTGGAATGAAACATTTTAAAGCAGTTCAGTAAAACGTCCATTTTACGTACCCCTTCGTATCAAGAGGTGTTCGTAAATTGAAAAATTTGTAAACCAGATCTTGTGTCAGTTTCCAATACCTAGGCCTAGCTACCCCCTGCCATTGAGCCCCAATAGGCTGATGGCGTCAAGTCCTAGCACGAACCAACAGTGCAGCAGTGTAGAACCTAGCTGAATTTACCTTCGATAAAAACCAAATTATTTTAATCGCTGGCATTCTTCCACTTAACAAAATATTATTTTAACTCTTATTCAAACACCTGTATGTTTTACGGCCCATTTTTTATCGTGTTCTTTCTAGTTGTTAGATCGCCGAATTGTGTTGTTTACATGCATTTTGCAATCATATCTTGCATGCGATGTCAATAATTTGCTGACCACAACACTCGCGTTCATCATCGTAAACATGTCCACTCAATCCGACGACACTTGCGTTGGTAGTTCGTTGTTCTGGTTAGGTTTATTAAATTAATATAGTGATTTTTATACCAGAAATAGAAGAAAAGATCGAACTATTAATAAATATTTGATTTTATTAAGAAAAATATACATTATCATTTTGTAAAACATGCGCAATCAGACTTTTTTTACGGTAATAATTGGTCGATGATGACATCATCAGGGGTGAAAACCATTCGTAAAATCGAATACTGTAAAATCAACGTTCGTAAAATGGATATTTTACTGTAATACAAAGCGCTTTGTTTTGCCTGGTCATTGGGTCGACATGCTTAAGTGTAGTTGCTGCCATATTGGTGCAGTAGCAGGCAACCCCACCAGGTACCCATTTATACTCAAACGCAGAAAATGTGCCTTAAGCACAAGAACACAAGCGAAATGCACAGCGAGGGATTGCAACCCCGACCTAGAGATTTGGAAACCAAACTGTTCTTGCTGTTCAAACCGCTTCTACGCAGTTCCAATTGTATGTATGCTACTATGAAATTTAATCTTCACATGCCAGATTTGCACAGAATACATTAAAAAAAGTCATTACCTAAATTGCTTGATTTGTATAGTTTACAAGAAAAAAAAATAATTCACTCTACCTGTTCCACATGGTTGACAACAGTGACTTCTAAAAGTGATGTCAGGTGTGCTATCCGAGTTCCATATGCATCTCCTAAGACGGGCAGCTTGGTGAGGTAGACGTGGATGCCGCCCTTCGCAGAGCTGACCGCTAGCAACTGGCCGTCATCGGTCCACGCCATCTTACCGAGACCTTTGGACTCATCCTCAAGCTCAACAATGGCGTACATTTCCTTGAGCTCACTCAGATCATGGATCTTAATCCTGTAAAAAAAGAAATTAACTGAGTTTAGGTATTAGGCTATATACTAACTGTCATTAAACTGATAAAGTAGTTTTATTTTTAGTGTCTCACAGGATTTAAGCAGAAGATCCTGAGTTCGGAAGGCATACATCTTAACGACCCAGCTACCCTCCATTCCAAGATTCATGCCTTCTGCATTCGTTCATTTATTTGTTATACATTCCTTCATTATATCATTTATTTGTTTGTTGTTTATTTAATCCTTCATTTTTTCATTTCTCTATTCATTCATTTATCCCTTCATTCAATCAATCATTTATTTATTTATTAATTTATTCATTCATTACTGCTTTCATTCTATTTACTCACTAAATTTTCTTGAAACACACTTTCACTACAAAACATACTAGATTACAAAATACAAAAGGATTTTCCAGTTTTGATAAAGATATTTCAAAAACCATGGCTTTCCCCAGCTTCCCAAAACCACAATAACCAAGACAACATGAACCACAGAAACCACGATCACAGATATAGTACCCTTGCCAAAGAAAGCAATCAAGACCCCAGGAACCAAGACCACAGAAACCAGAACCACATCAAGTAATACCATAGAAACCTTAAATTGCCTAGTGAAAGAAGACAAGAAAACCTTCTATACGTACGTGTTATCGCCACATGATGCAGCCTTGTTGAGCGACAGCGAGATAGCAATCGCCTTTAAATTATCCTTGTGGTTGCGGGCCTGGAACAGCTCCTGTCCTATCTCACTTATGTGTGTTGAGATCACAACCAGGTAGCCATTTGAGAATCCTATCATAATGTACCCATCTCCATACCTAAGAGAGGGAAAAAAAAGAGTCAAAAAATCCAATAGTGAATGAGTGAAGCCTTGTTTCCATAAAGTTGCCACACTGTCACTACAGTGTTTTCACTGCAAGGCTTAAAGCTCTGTTCACACTATCAAATTTCAGGTTACAAATTTCATGTGACAAATGTGTGTGAAAATTTGTCACATGAAATTTGTCACATTTGTGTAATGTACCCATATATTATGGGTACATCACACAAATTTCATGCCACATTACACACATTTGTGTGATGTGGCCATATATTATGGGCATTAAGATGTCATATTACATTCAAATATCATTATGGGCATGTCACTTGTAGTTGTCACATGAAAGTTAATAGTGTGGCCAGAGCTTTAACTGCACCGCTATCCTCTGAAGCAACCAGGAAGGTCTTTGCTTTAATCGACAAATCAGTGTCAACTAAAACTGTTGGCGATAGCGTGTAGCAGTTTTATGGAAACCTTGCTTAACATAAAATGCTTAGGAACAGAAACTTAAAAGTATATATCCTTTTTCTGGACTTGCTAGTACTGATAATCTATAGTAACATTGTCTTTAATTATCAAACATATCTTTAAATCGAAGTATATTTTCCTGGATTGTCAAACAGCATTATACCTTCCCCAATCACAAAGAAAATTTAAATTTTGTTTTTACATGGTGGATAGATTTGTATAATTTCATAATAATAAAGTATATTGGAAACACTGCCGATAGTACAAGATGGTATTTTGATTAAACAAATCCCACTCACACCACCCCCCACCCACCACCAAAAAAAAATGTTGATAGATATGTATATTTCATGCTAACAAAAGCATCTTAGAGATGATCTATCCACTGTATAAGATGCAACTTGATTAAACTGGATTAAGCAACAGTACTTATCATATCTAACCAAATCCCAAAGAAAAAATTATTTTTTGATAGATTTCTATATTTTCATGCTAACAAAAGTGTCTTAGGGATGATCTATCAATTGTATAAGATGGAACTTTGATTAAACTGGATTAAGCAACAGTACTTATCATATCTAACCAAATCCCAAAGAAAAAATTATTTTTTGATAGATTTGTATATTTTCATGCTAACAAAAGTGTCTTAGGGATGATCTATCAATTGTATAAGATGCAACTTTGATTAAACTGGATTAAGCAACAGTACTAATCATATCTAACCAAATCCCAAAGAAAAAATTATTTTTTGATAGATTTCTATATTTTCGTGCTAAAAAAAGCATCTTGGAGATGATCTATCGATTGTATAAGATGCTCTCTTAATTAAACTACCTTACATTATGCAAATTGTGACTTGCAGATTCGACCTCAAATTATTTATGCTCCCTATCCTCACTGCTGTCATTATTTCATCGAAAGAGCAACACTGTATTATACAAACGTCTTATAAGGACATTAACTGCAGCGTTGCCTAGCAATCTCAACATTTAATCAATAAAGTTATTATCAACTAATGGATATTGACATTATCTGCCAGGAGAAGCAAATGGTAAACTATCATAAATTGACAAATTAAATTAATAATTAACAGCAGATTTTAAATTAATAAATTACTTATACGATAAAGATACAGTCTGTTTGAAAATTTGAAAAATCCATAAAAAATTCAATTATTATAAATTTCCTATTTAAATGGATCAAATATGTAACCACTTCCAAAACCTGAACTCGAAAATTACCTCATTGACAAATTGATTTTAAAGAAAGTGCATTAAAATTCAAACTCAGATCTAATACCTTACATTAAACAATAGAACTTCAAAATGGAATTTGGATAATAATAAGAAATGTAAACTATGTAATCTTAATTCTGATGAGGATATCAACCATCTGAAGTTGTCTGGCTCTGAATAAAATTTGCATCGACGAAATGTATAATCTAAACAAAGATTTAATCCAAACTGGCAAACTATGAACTATATTACAAATTCCGTAATGCAAATGAAAATACTAAATTTAAATATCTTTTGGAATCTACCTATCAACAGTGAATGTGAAGATATTTTTGATAGATTCTGCAAAAGATACATTAAAAGGGAATAGAAACTGCGAAATGAAATTATAAATTCCATGCCCTAACTGTAACCATACTTACCTTAATTTTTTTTTTTTTAAATTAAATTAATTAATTGTTTTTATTAGGTTTTTACACTGCTATTGGATATGAGGGTGTAAAGAAATATGTTACAGAGGGTATGGGTACAGCAAATATTAAAAAAGAATTTTTGATGTGGATGGTAATATAGATAGATAAATATGATTTTTTTTAGCTTGTACAGTAATTTTGTTTAGTATAAGTATTTTATAGTGTTAAGTTCCCTTTTTGTTTAATACTTCTGTAACATTGTTGGTGTTTTTTTTTTGTTTTTTTTTTGCTTTTGTTAACATTATAGGACAGACCTTTGTTATTTCAAAGTGTGCCACTGTTTGAAAAGTGTATGTCCAAATAAATAAATAAATAAAATTCCTATAACACACATAAAAAAGAAGCTGTTTTTGCTGATTTACAGCCATTTTAACAACTAAAAAATTTGTTTTGATTGATTACCACCACCGAATATTAATGATTTAAGCATAGAATATAGGAAACACCATTATTCATGCATCATAGTTTAGTTTAATCTTTGTATGCCCATATATAGTCACGATGTGCCTATTACAATATGGTAATGATGTGATGTCATCATTACCATACTGTATTTAGGCATGTCACGTGCTTTTGTTGAAAATAAAATTTGATATTCAGGACACTGAGAGCTTTATTCGTTATTACCATCACTCTCTCAAATGGGACCAGCCAATTCTGGCATATTAGTTACAATAACAGTTAAAATACAACACAAAATTGCTATATATACAAATTATAATCATACAATAGCTATAATATGTGGCAAAGACAAGCCAAACCAGCCACTCGTCGCAAATCGTGTTACAGAGAAAATGGCCAAAACATGCTGGAATGTCAAATTTTTAAAAATCTATTTTATTGCACTAAACTAACCTTTATATATCTATACATCATTCTATGCTGTTATTTTCCCCATTTTCAATTTTAAAACAATACTTTTTAAGGATTTAAAGATAGTTTCTGCGTGAGAAATGCCTGAAATCATAAACTTTGAAGGCTGATTTCTCATATATTGTTCTTTAAACAGCTGTGTGATTAAACGCTTTTAACTTCATAAGGAAATGTCCGATTTGAATGATTTTTTTACCATTTTTTAGCTATTATTTTACTCTCTAACACTGTATTCATAACTCAAAATCGATTTTTGCGACGAGTGACTGGTTTGGCTTGTCTTTGCCACATATACAATCAAACCACAAAAAAAGTACTAAAAAAGTGATAAAAGGTTATGTTGTCATAATAATTTTGACATGATAACTAAAATTTGCTATAAAGTAAAAATTTATTAACTTTTTTCACTCAACACAAACTCAGAGATCCCAATTCTCCCGAAAATCGCGGGTTCTCCCGATTTTTGAGACCGTCTCCCGCCCTCCCGATTTTTATTAACAATCTCCCGATTTTTTTAAATATCCCGAAAATTTCACAAAAAAATGTGATTTCCACGATGTCATAGAGCAATGAAACAAAATTTCTTATCTTAAGCCAATATACTATGGCGCTCGCTCAGCCTTAAAATGTCGTAAACAAGACCAGGGAGTTGTTATTTAAGTTGTTTATCAAAATAACAACTCCATTGCAAGGCAGGCCTAGATCCGTGGTAGAATCGCCTTGTTTATCCTCCATGTTACGATATTTCTCATCCGCGCCGACCTCAATCAATGAGATGGCTGTCAGTTGAGTAAATAAATTTCAACAAATTAACGAAATTAGAAATCACATGGAATGGATGCCCCAAGTTTTTTCGCCGCGAAGATTTGGAACTTTGTAGAATCGGTGCATAAAAAATACTTTTTCTTTCAAGTAAGCTTCAGTTCTTTAATAACAATACGAAAAAAATCATAGTTAGTAGGTTTTGGTACTAAGTAGTCTTCCGAAAGATGAATTTTTTTTAATATCAATCCCGAAATACATGTAGGCCTAGGCTCTATCTGCACTGCAGGGTATGTGCGTTGTATTGAGTGGGCGTCTGTGTGTAGTGGTGGTCGTGACTCATCGGCCTTAGGCCTAGTTACGCACGTACAGATGGAGACTAGCGAGGCAGGATTTAATGTTTTTTCATGGCATTATGTACGAATTAGTATAGGCTAGACATATATAAACGCAGACTTAAAACATGTAGTATGATTTACTAAGTAAATTAAAATATATATTTATTTTTTAATTTTTCAGCAAACGTGTGGATCTTGCAAGTTGCAGTTCTATGTTCTTTGAAGAGATGTAGTAAATCAGCCATAGAATCTAATATGCCAATGAACCAAGCAAAGCCTTGTTGACTGCTGCCAAGAATGCTTTACTAGCAAAATTTAAAATAAATAATAATATTTATAAATTTATATAGCCCAACTGCAATGTGTAAACAAATGTAAAATTGTTAAATAAAAGTAAACAAATTAATGAAAATTGTTTGTTTTCTTCATTTTGTGTAATACTTTCATGTTGCACAGGGCGTGTTAAGGCGTCACAGCGCGTCGCTACAGGAGGCGATCGCTTCACGAAAAAAATCTCCCTATTTTTTGGTTTTCAAACTTGGGATCTCTGCAAACTGCTCTGTATTTAATTATTCAAACTCCTATCTTTAATTGATATAATAGACATAGCCTGCTAGGAAACATAGAGAGCAAACTGTAGGATGGTAAATTGCATTAATAATTAACCACTACCAATGCTTGACTTTAATAAAATCTCTGGACCACCATTTCAGTTCTTGTGTAATTTTAGTTGTGGCCATTTCTTTTTGTTGCAATATATTTTTATATCTTGATTTTGCTTTGTTTTTTTGTTTTTTTTTTGTAAAGTAAGTTATTTATGTTTTATAAACCTGTTTACTTCAAGATATTATTATTTATGTAATAGTTTTAATTATTTATTTTCTCTTTACTTCTCTTGATGAATTTATCATTTCAATTGTTTTTAATGTGTAAATTTCTATTTTTGTTTTAATTTTGTTAATAATATTTTTAATGTTTTCCTTAAATTAATTTTTAAAATATTTTCTGATTGTTTTCATTTTTCTGTTTTAATATAATTAATTTGTTTATGTTGAAGATCTAGTTTAATTTTCATCTTTTTTTTGTCTTTAATTGCATGTCCTGAGGGCCCCGATTGATCAGCTCTGGCGGGGCGGACCACCCTCGCAAAATATTGTTTAAAAAATAAATAAATAAATAGTTATCATACTTATAGTGCATATCATGTTGAATGTCATCCTTACCACTGATAGCCGACTACATTCCCGTAACGCTGTTGAAAGGCAAGTTCAATGGGGTTATCGGAATCGTTCAAATTATACAGGAACAGCGTCTTTCGTCCGCAACATATGCTTACCTGAAAAGTTTAAAAAAAGAATATTACAAGATATTTTTGCAAGGATTTGTGAATGTACAGAGCATTCAGTACTATTACATATCAGGTAGGGGCAAACATTAATTCCTATTATTTCTCACAATGCAGAACGCCATCAGAATAGCATTGCAGTACCCACTGCTACTTGGTGATCAGATTCATCACTAGCCACCAAGCACAAGCTCGGTGGTCAAGTGGTTAAGACACCAGGCTAGTTAACTAGAGATCGTGGGTTCAATTCCAAGCCGAATCACTTGAGGGATATTTTTTTTTTGCAACTTTTTGGAAACATACTGAGCATTCAGTACTATAGTACGTCAGGTAGGGGTATTACTTCTCCTGACACGAAAAAAATCATCAGAAAAAAGTTATCAGAGTATATATTACAATTAAAGTAACGTAATTTTCATGAAGATAGACAGAAACTACTGATGTGCGCATGATCACATTATGTACCTTTTTGTTCCAATGTGGCGTCGCGCATATCTTTACCGTCTGCATATTAAATGTATTGACATTTACAAAATTTTTCTTTTGAAGTAATCTAAATGGTCATTTTAACTTTAAGTGGTAAATTGATCCAAAACTTATGAAAATGTTTGTTAATATTTGTGTTTACTGTATAATCATTTCTGGCTTTAATTTGTTCTACATTTAAATTTTTTACTATACTTGTTCAATTTTAACTATCTGTTTCAACATTTTTTTTCGTCTGATCTGTAGAATGTGCACATTTTATCCTTTTTTTTTTAATATTCATATAGTAATCTGTGACAAGTAAGGCAAATTTCAAGCCATTTTTATGAGTTTCAACCAATAAAATCGAACTTAATTGAATTGACTTGAAGAAGAATAACTGACTTACAGTATTTTCACCATTTGGACTCCGTTCATCAACTTTCATCTCAGAAAACTGAATATCATAGGGCTCTGCCCGTAGTGGAGACTACAAAGGAAATTAGTAAGAACAATTTATAATAGCAAGATAATAATAATAACAAGAAATAACAACAATTATACTATGACTGTGACAATCCCTAGTTCCTCGGGTTTAGGCCCACCTCAGGTGTAAACCCACCCCCACCCCCCTACTTTATGGCTAATTCAACATAACAGCCTTTCCTCGGGCAAAAGCCAAGGGTAGGAATTTCACCAACATTCTTAGAAAAAAATATTAAATATATGACTGTGTATTAGTCATACAGAGCTGAAAAACTGCTACAGTACAGTCATGAAATATTGCACTGTTACCTGCGCGCAGGCTTCATAGATACATTGTAGCCTGATATAAACAATCTAACCTGTGCGCAGGCTTCGTAGCCTGATATAAACAATCTAAGCAAGGCTACGCGAAGCGAACCTACGAAACAAAAGCATGTTGTTTATTTGTATGTGCAGAAAGATTGCTGCAGCTTACTGGAATAAACAATGTATTGTTTGATAATTTGTGAATGGCAAACACGAGTTTAGACCGTAAATTTAAAGTATGGAACTGTTTTTCAATAAGAAAAACGTACACTTGACTTCATGGGAGTCTCCTCTTCCACTCGCTGTCCACGACAGGAACTTGTTTGTACTGCTGTATTATTTTTTTTATTTAATTAGCCTAGGCCTAGCTTATTTTTCATTTACAATTATTTTACCTCATTTAAAATGTCAATAAACGATGTCCTCAATGGCAATACACACATGTGAAAAGATTGTTCATCAAATGATATTTTGTAGTCTTGATTTAGTAAGATAAATAATAAATAATAAATATAAAGGAGAATTAACGTCCGTTGGTTGTAAAAT